CGTGAATTCATTCATTTTCTCCACCCCCACACCCCTCAGAGGTAGGCGCTGTCCCTATAGGACAGCAGCCAGGTTTGGGATTTCCTTCTTGCTTTCGGCATCAACCGGCCTCAGGCTTTTGAGGTTCTGTTACTGCCTGTTAGGACCTCAGGCGCGTTCCAGATCCAAACTCCCTGACTTCTGGATGGCACAGGGCAGGGACTGGCGAACCACAGCCAAACCCAGCACGCTTCCCGTTTTTGCAAATAAAGTTTTATTGAAACACAGCCGCACTCATTCATTTGCACCCTGTCAGCGGCAGCTCTCCTGTGCTGATGGCAAGGTTAAGCAGTTGCAACACAGACTGCATAGCCCCGGAGCCGAGAAATATATGTACGGTCTGGCCCTGTGCAGAAAGTTTGCCAGCTACATTGTATCGAATTACAAGAAGCACCCGGTCTTGCAGTCAGGCAGATTGGCTTTGGGTTGGGATCCTGGCTGTACCACACGCTAGCTGTTCAACTGAGTACAGGTTCTTCTTCCCCTCTCTGGTCCTCAGTCTCCACATCTGTGAAATGGGGCTGGTTAGACTTGGCACCTCGCGGGGGAGCAGTGAAGACCGAAGGAGACAGTCTGGCACGCAGCAAGTAACCTGTGAATGTCAGTGATTACCGGTGATTACAGGAGGGCCTCCTCCTGGAGGCTTCCTTTTGTCTGTTTTACATCCCGGCTTGTGCTGCTTTAAGGGAGGCTTGCAAAGCACGGCTTTAGATCAGGTTGGCAGCAGCCTTGGTGGGTGCTCCCCAGGGACTCGTAGTCTGGTGGGGAGATACGGTCTCCACCTGCAGAATAACTGGCCTGGCAGAGCCGGAAGAGGGGGGCACGGCACCACCCCAGGGAGGAAATAGGATCAGGGTTCAGGATGGGGAGGGGCCTGGGGCGTCGCTGCGGCCGTGAGTTTAGTGTGAGTGAAGAAGGAAGGCGCGTGGGGCGGGAAGGCTGCCGCTGGGAGCAGGCCGTGTGCCAGGACAGCCTCGCCCCAGCCCGCGGAGCGGGATCCGACCACCCCACTTTGTCAGCGAAAACAGGAAGTCAGAGGGAACACAGTCCACAGGACACCCTCACTTCTGGCACCAGCTGCAGGTTCAGGGGTTCGATCATTCCCCGGAAGAACAGAACTCACGGAAAGGTCTTGTACTCGTGGTTATGGTTTATTACAGGGAAGGGACACAGATTCGAGTCGGCCAAGTGAGGCGGTGCATAGGGTGGAGTCCAGGAAAGTTCCAGACGGAGCTCTCCTTGTCTCTGCCCACGGGATCACAGAGGCGTTACCTTCTTGGTACACACGTGCGACACGCACACGCACGCTCACACACACGGAGTGGTGCCGATCGGCGAGGATCTCCTGAGCCTCAGTGTTCAGAGTTTTTAGTGGGTGTTCCGGGTTGAATTGCGGCCCCCCCCAACCCCCCGATTCACTTATGGGAGTCCTAGCCCACAGTACCCTAGAACATGACCTCATGTGGAAACGGGGTCGTTGCAGACGTAAAGTTAAAAACAGGTCATACTGGATTGGGCGATGATCCAATGTGGATAATTACGGATTATGCTCCAGTATGACTCGTGTCCTTACAAAAAGGGAAATTTGGACACAGACACAGGGAGAAGCCGTGTGAAGAAGAAGGCGGAAACCGGGGTGATGTGTCTGTGAGTCAAAGAACGCCAGAGGTTGTCCGCAAACCACTGAGAGCTGGGGAAGAGGCCTGGGACGTGGTCTCCCTCGTGGCCTCTCAAGGAGCCAGCCCTGCTGGCCCCTGGGTCTCGGACCTCCGGTGCCCAGACTGGGGGAGAGTCAAGTTCTGTTGTTGGAGCCCCACGGTCCGTGGTGCTTTGTCACAGCAGAGGACACGAGTACATTGAACCCCATTGCAGAGGCTCAGTTGATTGCCCATGTGGCGGGTCTGTCTCCAGTCCCTCTGGGCGTCACCCAAAGCCCGCGTGGCTGGACTCTCCAATGTGCCCAGGGTCCCCAGACACACAAAGGCTCTCCCGCCAGGCCTGGCATCCCAGGGCCTTAGAGATCACCTCCCGGAAGCCGAGAACAGAGGCCGGACCTCTTTTGGGGCACGGGTAAATTCTTCACCACACAGAGGCCCGGAGAGGAGATGTGATTTGCCCAGGGTCGCACCGCCAGTGAGCAGCCGGCCCGGCTCAGAGCCCGTGCCTTCGCCACTGTGCCGGCCACGGGCAGCTCTTCTGAGCACAGAGCCCAGGCCCCGCTGCAGATGGGCCAAGAATTCGGCCTCATTCCATTGCTTCCGGTCATCTGACGTTCATGCTTTTGCGGATTTGGACAGACTGTCTCTGACAGACCAGGCACGAGCCGCCCATCAGAGGAACACCCCTTAGGTGACCAGAGGCCGCCCTCAGAAGCCCCTTGTGGTTTTCCCACAACACAGAGGGTCTGGCTGTTCCCACCGTGCACCTGCTGCCCCTTCCTCCTATGGTCGGGGCAGGCTATGTGGACTGTATCCGTTTCCAATCCTGTGCAACAAACTGCCCTCAAACTCAGTGGCTTAGGCATTATGTCGCAGCGTCTGTGGCTTGGGAATTCAGGAATGACCTAGTGGGAGCTTCTGGCCCCGGGTCTCTTGTGGGGCGACGTTTAAGCTGGCAGCCAGGGCTGCGGTGTCATCCAAAGGCTTGACTGGGCTGGAGGACCCTTTTTTCCTGGTAGAAAGGAGGCCCCGTTCCTCACCGCACGGGCTCTCCCCCAACTGGTCCTCGCAGCGTGGCGGCCGGCTTCCCCCAGAGCGGGAGGCAAGGAGCAAGTTGGCGTCCTTTGTGACCTCATCTTGGAAGCCCCACCCAGGCCTTCCATCATATTCCGTGTGCTGGAAGCCTTGCTAAGACCCTGCACCCCAAAGGGGAGGTGAATTAGACGCCACCTCTTGGGGACATGCCTCAGAGCCACGCCCTGGCCCCACAGGGGCCCTCGAGGACCACGTTTCCTCAGCTGCTGCCGTGGCCCGGGCCCAAGATGCCTGAGCAAATGTCATCCCAGTTGGAGGCTGTTTGGGGTGAAACCAAAGGGGAGGGGCCCGGAGACCAGGATTTTCACACCCAGTTCGGTGGTGCCTGAGGTCCTTTCGCATTCACAATGTGAAGCAGTCTGCTTGCTCTCTCCCAGGTGCTATGCCGGGCCCAAGGGAATCACAGAGGAGGGAGTCACTGACTGCCCTCCAGACGCTCACGGTAAAGGGAGACAGAATTAAGAACTAATGTCTCAATACAGTCTGATCAGTGCTGGAAGAAGGTTGAGGAGTGAATCCGTGTAGACGGACAAAGGAGGGAGGGACCGCATTTGCTGGGACATCTTCCCCAAAGAAGAGCCCAGTGTGCTGGGCTCTGAAGGGTGAGTAGGAGCCCATTCCCCTGGTAAAGAAAGAAAGAACATTCCAGGCAGGAATTGGGTCGGGAGCCCAGGGTTTTGGGGAGCTGTGAGCAGTATCGGAAGTGTGGACCGGTGGCGGGGAATGAGGCTGCGGGTCGTTTGCGCCAGATCATGAAGGCTGAAAGCTGGGCTGGGGGGTTGGCTGCAATTCATGATCAATATCTCCCAACATGTATTTCACGATTCACAGTTCTGTGAGATGGCAACAGGCGTTCCTCCAAAAACAGACCCCAAGATTACTTAAATTCAGGAAGCCCAGGGTGAAACACAATTAAAGAGCTGCTTCCCTACTGCAGGACTTCTCAGAGCCTTTAATTCTCTAACATACACGAGAATCCCCAAGAGAAAGATAGATTAGGTGGGGTCCAGTCAACATTCAAATATGTGCTATTCTCAAACCCATTTGATCGTGGAACCCCGGGAGGCCAGTGTTCCAGGGAACACGCTTTGAGAACTGCTTGTAGCTAGTTGTCAAGAGGCCGCGAGGGTCTCGCAGGTATGCGGTATGATCAGGTTCGCGGTTTCTGGCAGAGAGGCTAGTTAGGGGCTTGAGGAGGGAGAGAGAAGGACAGCAAAGCCACCGAGGGATGATGGCATCTGCGGGCTTGTGATGGGTTAGGTTGGCTGGGACGTTGAGGGAGAGGAGAGAGTCAGGGTCCCCTAACTCAGACGGGAAGGACGGAGCAAGGGTGTGGCATGGGTGACGTGGGTACTTAGTAGCAGCCACAGAGCAAGGAATCCACCAACAGTAGAAGAAATGGACAGATTCCTCCCGGGAAAGCCCAGCTCAGCTGAACTGACACAGGAAGAAACAGAAAACCTGACTAGCCCCGTGTCTATTGAAGACCCCAAATTCCTAATCATAAAATCTTTGCACAGAGAAGATTCCAGACCCGGACGGTTCCCCTGGGGAATCCAGTCAGATGCGTGAGGGAGAACTTGGGCATCTCCCAGACGCCCTTCCAGAAGGGGATGTGGGGGAGGAGTGGCCACGTGAGGAGTTCCTTCCGCGCAGCAGACGGGCCGGTTCTGGTTCATGCTGCGCTCCGTGTCCCACTTTAGAGCCGTGTTCCGGGGGCTTCTGGGTATCAGACGTTGCTCCGGGCACCCGAGCCATGTTAGTGAACGAAGCAGGCGAAACTCAGTGCCCTCCCTGGACGACGCAAGCTTGGAGGGGCCGTTGAACTGCCCTGTGCCTCAGCGTCCCCCTGCGCGGAGCGAGGCCAGCACTCCCCTCCTTGCTGAGAGGCGGCGGTGAGGGAGGGAGGCAGGCAGCCCGCAGCCGGGGGCTCCCGGCGGCCACTGATGCTTGTCTCCCTGTCGTGTGTGTACGTGTGCGTCCCACGGCCTGCCCTCTCAGGCTTTAAAATGTGTGGCAGCAGCAGCAGCAGCAGCCATGACGAGGCCCCCGTCCTGAGCGACAAGCACCTGGACGTGCCCAACATCATCATCACCCCCCCGACCCCCACGGGCATGATGCTGCCGCGGGACTCCGGGCAGACAGGTGAGGCCGCCCTACCACCTGCCGAGCGTGTCTGGGGGGCCTGGCTGGGGACCGCTCCCAGGCCCCCCCCCCC